AAATTGTTTAAAAATATATAAACATTTTATATTTCTGTCAATACAATCTATCCAGTTTTATTTTTTTTACCTGGTCTGATTTAGTAAAAACATCTTCTTTAAGGAACCTTTGGTTATCTGATTATTACGTAATCGATTAATCAAAAAATATAATAAACAGATTAATCAAACTGCAAAATGATCATTAGTTTCAGCCCTATTAAATACATTTGGCAAAAAAAAAAGTTTTATAAATTACTTAGCTCATTTTGCAAGGTATGTGTTCCTTAAATGTAATAGGAACAGACATGTGCCATAAAAAAAAAACAGACAGCTTTTCTCTTAAGATTTTCACAGGTCAAACAATTGATCAGATAGTTTTAATTACATGAATCATAACCTAGATTCCTGTAGTTCTGTTCTATAGATTTATCTATTCATATTTGTACCGGTTGTACTTTCTTCAAGTTTTATGAAAATCAGATAAAAGCTTAATGGAGGCATTTAAAATCATACATTTTTACATTCCCTGCTATTTGGTCAGCTTCAATCTAGTCCCTCCGTAAAGTAACCAATAGCACATTTCTTAATAGAAATAAGAAAAAACAATAATAAAATGCCAAATTTTGAATTATCAGGCCAGACCTCTAAGAAAACTAAGATTCACATCAACTTAATCAGCGCAACTCTAATAAGGATGGATTTGAATAGAAATAGAGACTAATAGACTTTTCTCCATAATGATAATATCAAAGGAATATGAAATATTTTCCTTTACAAGCAGCTATGGTAAATATAAAAATGTAGATGTTACCAGATATGACTATTCCCCTTGGACCACAAGTCTTTAGGTGTTAAAGAAACGTGTGTATGTGGAACAACTTGAGATGATCACTCAATAGGAGTGAGACACTAGAGTAAATAAATCGGAGAGTTCATTAAGTTTCGATCTGTGGTGCACCACTGGCAGTCCTCCAGCCTCTTGAGAAAGACTAACGAAGAATTTGCAAAGGAAATGCCTCCCAAAAACCTTAAAAATAACTAAAAATCTGAAGTTTTGTAAACTACAGTTCTGCTGAAATCAGCTACTAGCCATATGGTGATGGAGAATCTTTCATGCAGAATTCATTGCAGAAGTGAGTGTGTCGCAAGTGTGTTTTCTCAGTGGCCAGTTTACAAAACCTGTTCCTGTGAGCTCGCTGACGGCGACAGCTCATTCCCTCTGAACTTACACCTACACCACAGCCCAACACTCTGACACACCACCAGACTCTGTGTGCTGCCCAGTCTAAATGAGCTTACTTCTAACTCCATCTAAAGACCTCTCTCGACACAAGTCTCCTGTAAGTTTACATTGTTAATCCCTGTTGTTGCGACTGTATGCTCTGGCAAACACAATTACAAGCTGAAACAAGATCCTCCATCGTTGACCTCATATGGAAAATTACAGAACATATAAAATGAAATAAAAACCACCAGAAAACCCCCTAAAGGGCCCTGCAACATAGAGAGAGCATACCTGTCTCTGAAAGCCAGCAGTCAGGGATCTGCAGCGACAATGATTTAGAAGGACATCTACTCTCATTTACACCCCCCCTCCCACTGATTACCTCATTTCCTATTACACTCACATGTTCCTCCTTTTTTTCTCTTTTGGAGACAGAGACAAGACCATTGAGAGCAAGAGGGAGGAAAGACAAAAGAGAGAATGACAAACCGGGTGGTTTTGTGAGCCACCAAGCCGCCCCAGCTGCCTTTTCCTGTGGTACAGGCTGCAGCTGCATTGATCAGCTGGTTACTGTGAGATAATCACAGTGATTTTAGCAAAGTGAAACTTTAAGAATAAAGTATTCATGACTCTCATTGAACACAAATGAACACGACTAATATTAAATCAGTTTCTGATACAAAACACGATCTAATCTGGAGTCTCAACAACTTCCGCCGGTGTTTGTAAGTTGTTATGACCCAGAAGGTAGAAGGACAAGGTGTGACTCCGTTCATACATGTCCCGACCTCACCTATCCTGCTCTGCAAAGAGCTCCTACTAACATACTAAAGAGTAATATTTTGACATTTCTAAACAGTTCCTAACACCTATCTTTTGCCTCAGTTTATTCCAATCTTGTTTATCTGACTATCAAGGCCTGAGGACAACCTTGTAGCATCACTGCCTCCCACCTAGTTCCCCCTTAATGTCTTGCAAAACAGCAGGCAGCTTTAAGCTCAGAGGAACCACTGAGAGCCTGAGTAATGCTTCTGATTTTATTCTCTTCTACAAATACTAATGCATGACAGAAAACTGCCAGCAGCAAACATGACAGTCTGCAGCTTGTGTCTGTGTGATGTTTTAGTGCTGGGGGAGGACACAGATCTGACAGAGAGGAATTCTCCTTTTGCAACCCACACTCTCTACCATTTTCCCTCTAAGCCAGTGATGCATCTTCATCACTTCATTTCTCCATCTTCCTGTGGCAAGTGCGCCCAGGGCAACCATGAGCAGCGGTTCTTCAAGCTTTTCGTCACTCGTTTCCTCTCTGTGGGTCCCAGCTTGCTTGTCACAGTTTGACAACTCACCTAATGTGTAAACTAGAACCTAAATATAAATGTTATTTAAGGGTCTGTTGAATCCTGCAGCTGCACAATTTATCCAACGGCGATGCTGACTATAATGTGCAATAATAAAATCGCAATGAGATTGCTTGGATGCAGTTATGATGGAGCTAATATTTAAAGTGAAATGCAATCAAACTGGGCTTGATTAGCATGATACTAAAGGTGATCAGGACTAAGATGAATTGTGAAAAGATAGAAGCTTTATTTACAATCAATGCTGTTTTTGCAATATCATAATATAACTGTTTTCTTATGTAATGCTTTCATAGACATAAAAACAAATAGAAGAACAACCCTGCTTAAGAAAATATGTCCCCAACCTTCTCGGATTGTGAATACTAGTGAGGAAATATGACAGAAAAGCCTGCATTATCCTCCAGCTACGTAACCTGAGGACTTTGCTGTCAAAAAGCATTAAGAAGGCCAAGACACTCGCAGCTAAGGATGTCACTTTAAATGCATTCATGCACATGTTCTTTCAGCAAGTTAACAGTGTACAATCACCTCCTTAGCCCATGGCAAATTGAGCATCAAACTCAAGGATGTACTCGCATGTGACTGAACAACAACCCCATACATAAAGCAAACAAGATGTTTTTTTTTTATTCTTTGCAGAAACATCCATGTGGTATCATTTATATCTCATTTTTTGACTACTGGAATTCTTTATTCTAAGCAAGCCCCAAATCAAGCTGGACGAAATGTTCAATGATGCACAGATGCTACAGAAATAGTTCTGATGAGAAGAGCAGAGATTACAGGTAACTTCACGACAGGTTTATTGGTGGTTGGAGTATCTAGAAGTAGTTTTAGTCTCAGCTTTAGTCTGAAGAAGATACAGTGTCTATGTTTAACGACTAGGCTTAAAACTCTCCTTTTTCAATTGTTTCCCTTAGCTACCTGCATCTCATTTTAGTAGCATTTATTGTGGCCATTAACTGAATATTAATGTGTTTTCTTTTACATGCAGTGAGCCAAAGAATTATATGGTAAATTGCATTGAAATAAAGCAATTTACAGATCTTATGGTACCCAAAATGCGCTATTGCCCGATGAGTTTTTAAATCAAGTAGGGCTGAAGCAATTAATCACATTAACTGATTATTGAAATAATCGTCAACTTATCTAATAATCTATTAATCGTTAACTGTAGTGTAGAGACTGTAAAACATGCCTTTAGCTGGCAGATGAACCCACTTAGAGCAGTAATTATGCCAAGATAGAAATAAATATTTTGCATTTAAGATAAAAAGTTACTCTGTTAATATACTCTATCCAGAACTCCTCAAATTAAAAGGTTTGAGTTTTACCTGGTTTAATTTAATTAAAAAAAGTCTTCTTTAAGGAATCTTTATATATCAGATTATTAATCAATTAACAAAAAATAAATAATCTTTAGATTAGTCGATTTGCGAACTAATCATTAGTTGCAGCCCTACAATCAGGCCTTAACTGTATGGAGGTTTCTTCTTATTAAAGAGGCTTCATCGTTGCCAGTTTCTTATTCAGTTAAAGAGATTGCTGCAAAGGAAATACAGTCAGTTGTCTCTCCTTAGACTATAAACTCATTTCACTGTAAGGCACTACAATTAGGGTGGAACTATGATGCATGTAGGAAGATCTGAGTGTTATGTGAACTCACTCTATGGTTATGGACTGAATTCATTGATCCGGCTGGTCAAATTTCATTTATATTAACTGCATATGGACATGAATATGGATATGTTGTAGTCTATTGCAAATTAATTCAACTATATAAAAGATATTCACTTTAGCTTCAGGAAAGATGTAGACCAAGGGCTGTGAGGGGGGATATTCATATTTGTTCTGCATATACAGGAAATTCCTTAACAGAAAAGACTAGGGAAAAGCCACGTCACATGACAGCTGGTAGAAACCTGCTTAAAAAGCATAAATAAACAAACCAATATGTTGTTGATGCTATTGTTTCACTTCCTTTACAAGGAGGGAGATAATTCACCTGAAGAATTTCTCAAGTCCACACCCATACACAGCTGTAGCTAATCAGACAAGTACAAAGTCTGACTCAAATGTGCCACTTTAACTTTTATAAATTACTTTTAGTACATGTTTAACACGGCTGTCAGGTTTAGTTTACTGGTTTCTGGTTTGTTATTAACATCTGACATACATTTAAAAAAAAAAGTAAAAAAAAAATTGCCAATTTGTTGACATATCGACATGTCCACATAGTTATTGTTTGTACTAAATATCTTGGGCGGTTTCCCCAAGAAGTGTAAATTAATCCGCGGCCGCCTTTCTGTCACGGCTGATTGCATGACTTCGAGCTGTCAGCCCGGCTGCTGCTGCTGCATCCACATTAGCAACTCTGCTAGCTCCGACACGGCACCGAGTAAAAATTCAGAAAGTTACTTCACACTTACTGGCATGCTACCCGTCGGGTTCCTGGTATTTATGTCCTTAGCGGTGCCACAGATTTCGGTAAAAGACTGACCCTTCGCTAGTCCGTAAATCTCCTTATTAATTCAACACCATCAGCTCCTTCCATCTTCGTTACTTTCTCCCGGTCAGACTAGCAGCAACGGAGAAGACGCCAACTCCGCCGAGTGACAGATGCCATACCCAATCAGAGAACAGGAAGTCCGTTTTAACCACGCCTACAAAAATTCTGACCAATAAGAATAGACTTGAGGCCACAAAGTGATAATTTCCATAATCAAGCTAGGTTGTCGTTGTCATTCTCTGATCTTTTACAATCATCTGTCAAATTTGCCCATCAGTTAGAGATATTTCACAAAAATTTCTGAAAATCTGTATCCTATTTGCCTTGTTACGTTATTATTGATGGAAGTGATTTCAACATGTATTTTTTTTGTACAGAAATTATAGCAAAGCTACTTGTATTAAATATATATTAATATTTATGCTTAGTTTTAGGTTGCTTTAATAATTTATTGTCAAATTTTACAATAATTATTTTAACATTTGATGATTCACCAGATCTTATGCAAAATCAGGGCTGTGTATATTTATAGGACACAAAACACAGCAGTGTGGCACTTATAACACCAGGGATTTTCCAGACTTCATCGTTGCAAGGATTATGTGTTGAATTGCTTTTGAACGGACACAATGGCAAATCTGTGATTTTTAATCAGTTAATACTGACAAAAACGTTTCGGTGGATAAGCTGCAAATCTGCTCTCAGAAAAACAAAGCATGCACGCACAAATAACTCCAGTCAAATTATCATCTTTGTCAGAAAAAAAATGTATTTTTATTGCGAGCTAGACATTCCTGGAAGCAGAGCTTTGAACATTTTTTGACCGTTTACTACAGGTTATAACAGCAAAGTCTAAAAAAGGAGACAAAGCCTAACAGAAAAGCAAAGTGAATCTTTGCTGCCCCCTGCTGCTTGTTGATAAAATTACATGTGAATAGGAAAGTCATAATGCAAACAGGGTGAGTATTTCTGCTGTGCAAAAAATATGTGGTCCAAAAAAGTCTGGGGGCCCAGATTTCATACAGTATGTAATTTCATAGTTTCATCAGTGAAACATAAAACAAAACACATGAAATAAAAAAAGAATATAACTATAAAACTGATGGATATTTCAACCTGGAGAGACTCACACAGAGAAAGGTTGCGATTAGAAAATATTGAATTTATTTGCTGATGAAGATTCTCAGACAGAAAGAGACTGAACAAACTAGTGAGGAGGGCTACTTCTGTCCTATGCTACAATCTGGACTTGGTGGAGTAAGTAGCTGAGAGGAGGGTGTTGTCCAAGCTTACATCCATAATGGACAACACCTTCCACCCTCTGCACCAGACTGTAGAGGAGCTGAGCAGCTCCTTTAGTGAAAGACTTTTACACTCTGTTTTTAAAAAGGAGTGCTACCATTGGTCATTCTTGTGCAATAATTAATGTGCAATAACTCTTTAATACCCAGTGCAATAACCTGTCCAATAATCCTGCTAAACAAGAGACTTCAGCTGTTAGTTATCTCACCACCTCACTGTTGTTCTTTACCTGGTACCACTTAAATGTACAATGCAAAATCCAAATAAAATTTCAGATTTCTTTCTTTTTTTCTTGATCCACTGTATACATGTGTACACACTGTACATACCCCATGCACATTTTCCTCCTTTTGACACCTTCTTTTGACTATTGAGCTGATGTGACAAGTGAATTTCTCCACTATGAGATCAATATAGTGAATTTCTCCACTGTGAGATCATTATAGTCTATCATATCCTATCTAGGACAAATAACCTAGAAAAGGATTAGAGTAGCATTCCCCCAGGGCCCGGACTCTGGTGGTGGAATAAGCCAGAGGATGAGTGGGATTGAGAATGAGGGAGGAGATGGGGTGGAGGAGGGTGAAATTTCACTAGCATGTGGGACAGAGAGGCTGAGCCAGGAGCCACATGAAGGGGATCTTGCAAGATGATTGGCTTCAGAGAAAGTGCCGCCCCCAAGCTGATTGGCTGGAGCTGAACAGGGGAAATCGCAGGCGGTTCAGGTAAACCTGGTAAGAGTCTTCCAGAATGAATGGATGCTTAAGGTTCATTTCTGAATACCCCCCTCTTACCTACTAAAGGATATGGGCCCAGCATGGCCCAGTGTAGCCCTGGAAGATGAAGTGTGTGTGTAGATGGATAGATTTATGTATTCTCATATGTAACCTATTTTTGGACATATATGAAATAGATAATCAATACAAAACCAGTACACATTGATGTTAGTATTTTTTTTCTGTTTATTACTGAACATACTTTTATATTTATTACTGTGGTATTCTGTCAATATTTTTTCTGCTTTAAATTTTGAAGTTATATGCACAAAGTAAATAAGATGTATAAAATGCTAACCCGAATTTGAGAATAAAACAACAATAAAAAAAACAAAAAACTAAAATATTAAAATCCGGGAGACATCCGTTTCTGATCATTTTCCTAAGTTATCCTTAATACTGTGTAAGGCCATTGTTTTTAAAATCTAAATTACATTAATAACAAAGAGAAAAAAAAAACAACAATAATAAATCACAATTTTCATTTAAAACCCTCACTAATGCTTTTCAAATATTACCGATTTGCATTCATCTGTTGTCATTCATTCTTCCTTATAGCTTGGTTTCATCCATACCCAAATGTCTGGGTATGTTTTGTCTGTACTTCTGCTGTTTAAAAACATTTATATTTTCAGTGCATTTCAGGATCTTGCAGGTAGAATGACATGAAATGCCCCAAAGACAGGACATTTCTAAAACCTGTAATTCAACTCTTGCAAAATAGTGTGAACATATGTACATATTTTATTTAAAAAGTGACAGCAGTTATATACCAATCCCGGCAATCTGTGCAGCTTCATTGTAAACTTCCCCAGCCTGTTGCCTGTATCTTTGCGATAACTCCTTCGCCCTCCTCACTTCCTTCATGTTCTCCTCCAGGTTGTCACACAGTCTTCCTTCTTCTTGGTAGTTTTCTGCTGCTCCCTTTACTTGCTCGGCCATTTGGCTGTGGCCCCGGAGCAGCCAATCGATAAGCTGGATAAGCGCTGTACCCTTTGAGATGGTGGCTTTGGCGCTATCAGAAATGCCCATGACTTCACTCTGTGCTGACTGTAGACATAGAGGTTTCTCCTCATTTTCTCCCTCTGGGCCAATTGGATTTGTCACAAGGGAGAAGTCGTAGCCCTTCATCTTCAAAGACACCCTGTATGTACTCTCTGAAGGCAAAGAGGTGGACAGAAATTACAATAATCAGCAAAAAAGAGCCAAAATCTTATCATGCTGTTTTAAAGTAAAAGCTGCAGCTTACCATGCTCTATTCTAATTTTTCCTATGCATTCAGCAAAAGCAAGGTTATCAACATTTGTACTGCCACTGATCTGTTTCAGCTTTCTGATGTGTTCGACCATGGCTTCATAGTGCTTTTGCTGCTCATTGAAGCTCTCTGCCATGTCATTAAACCTCAGATCCAAATCTGTCACATTCACCCGTCTCATCATCAGCTTTCCGATCCTTTTCACAGTCTGCACATCTGGGAATCACATATAATACACAAAAAGGATGATGAGGAAGAGGATGGTGTTCTTAAAACAGGTTATTGCGGATGTGAAACACAGACATAGGGGGTGGTTTACCATTGTGAGCTGAGGGGGCCTGTCTGGCTGATTCAGCTCCATTTATTGCAGCTGAGGATACGGGCTGCAGCAGAGGCTGCCTCTGAAACAGTAGAGATTTTTCTCATATTTACACACATGCAGTATCAGTCTCATTTAATTCCTTTCTCTTAAAATGAGTCATAAGTCTCAGGTAGCATTAATCTTTCTTTTTCGTTGCATAATCTTACACTGAAAATGTAAGAAAACTCCATCTTTTTATCTAAATGTATTTATTAATTCGGTAACAAAAGGCATGCCAAGACATAAGGGTTTAACAAAAACACAAGTTATTGTGACAATCCTCAAAAGCAAATATAAGTAATGCTATTTTCCAATGTTTAATTCTTATGGGAGGATATTGTATGTATATATATATATATATATATATATATATATATATATATATATATATATATATATATATATATATATACTCACTGGCCACTTTAATGGGTTGGACCCCCTTTTGCCTTCAGAACTGCCTCAATTCTTCGTGGCATAGATTCAACAAGGTGCTGGAAGCATTCCTCAGGGAGATTGGTCCATATTGACATGATGGCATCACACAGTTGCCGCAGATTTGTCAGCTGCACATCCATGATGCGAATCTCCCGTTCCACCACATCCCAAAGATGCTCTATTGGATTGAGATCTGGTGACTGTGGAGGCCATTTGAGTACAGTGAACTCATTGTCATGTTCAAGAAACCAGTCTGAGATGATTCCAGCTTTATGACATGGCGCATTATCCTGCTGAAAGTAGCCATCAGAAGTTGGGTACATTGTGGTCATAAAGGGATGGACATGGTCAGCAACAATACTCAGGTAGGCTGTGGCGTTGCAACGATGCTCAATTGGTACCAAGGGGCCCAAAGAGTGCCAAGAAAATATTCCCCACACCATGACACCACCACCACCAGCCTGAACCGTTGATACAAGGCAGGATGGATCCATGCTTTCATGTTGTAGACGCCAAATTCTGACCCTACCATCCGAATGTCGCAGCAGAAATCGAGACTCATCAGACCAGGCAACGTTTTTCCAATCTTCTATTGTCCAATTTCGATGAGCTTGTGCAAATTGTAGCCTCAGTTTCCTGTTCTTAGCTGAAAGGAGTGGCACCCGGTGTGGTCTTCTGCTGCTGGAGCCCATCTGCCTCAAAGTTCGATGTACTGTGCGTTCAGAGATGCTCTTCTGCCCACCTTGGTTGTAACGGGTGGTTATTTGAGTCACTGTTGCCCTTCTATCAGCTCCAACCAGTCTGGCCATTCTCCTCTGACCTCTGGCATCAACAAGGCATTTCCGCCCACAGAACTGCCGCTCATTGGATGTTTTTTCTTTTTCGGACCATTCTCTGTAAACCCTAGAGATGGTTGTGCGTGAAAATCCCAGTAGATCAGCAGTTTCTGAAATACTCAGACCAGCCCTTCTGGCACCAACAATCATGCCACGTTCAAAGTCACTCAAATCACCTTTCTTCCCCATACTGATGCTCGGTTTGAACTGCAGGAGATTGTCTTGACCATGTCTACTTGCCTAAATGCACTGAGTTGCAGCCATGTGATTGGCTGCTTAGAAATTAAGTGTTAACGAGCAGTTGGACAGGTGTACCTAATAAGTGGCCGGTGAGTGTATATATTTTTATATATATATATATATATATATATATATATATATATATATATATATATACATATATATATACATATACATACATACATATATATACATATATATATATATACATATATATATATATATATATATATATATATATATATATATATATATATATATATATATATATATATATATATATATATATATATATATATATATATATATATATGTATATATATATATATATATATATATATATATGTATATATATAGTATACCAGGACATTTTACACTCTGAAATCGCTTGAACACCTTGCAAAAAGCCTTTTCTTGTTTACAATCATATATAAAATATGTTGAAACATGCCTTCAGAAAAATTATGACAAACTATGCCTTCCACCAACAACACCTCAAGTAGGATTGACATGAAACAAGTGAATCTGTTGAAAAGCCTATTGCATATTGTTAAGTATATTGGAGGATAAGTAATGCTGTGGGCTGGTTTCTCTTCCAAACTCATAATGTTGAGAGGCATGACCTATAACAGATATAACAGCATTTTAAATGAGTTCTGGTGCAGTTATTCAGTAAAAAGGACATAGGCAATCAATCTGTCATAAACTGATCAAAAGATGCAAAATCTGCAGGCTGTATGGTCATCTCAGTTCATACATCTACAGCTTTTTATTTTTCTGAAATTTTTTTTTCAATATTCCTATCTCTGCATGATGCAACCTCATCAAATGTTATAAAAGATACTGCAGTTATAATAATAATAATAATAATAATAATAATAATAATAATAATAATAATAATAATAAACATGGTGTAACATTTTGACAGCTCAGATGCAAATGGTATCATATGTGACTTTGGCAATATTTATTATTTCTCTCCTGTTGCATAAATATGATTAAATTAAAACATTAATCATAACAATACCAGCGTCAGATAGCGCTTATGATCTTTGTCAGGTGTCAACAAATGTGTGGTTTTAAATAATAACCAATTAACTGAAAATAAAGCCGATGTGTTCACTGAGATTTAATGCAAACTAAAAAAATGACGCCATTCTTCTAAGGAAGTAAGTAAACAATCTAAAACACAAATGAAAGCACATTTCTCCCATTGTTCAGTTTTACTCGCGAGAATTGACATGAAACTTCGTTGCAAAGTTACAGAGAGAGTACCTCATTAAGGTTATCGCTGGGGACGCAGCAACAGCAGAGGAGACGGAACATTTCCACCAGCTTCGCTGACAGCTTGTTTTCAGGTCACTTATTTTTTTCATCAAGTTTTTGTCGTCGACATTCCACATGACGTCAGTGTCACGCGGTCACTGATAAAAAAAAAAAAAAAAAAAGAAAGAAAGAAAAACTTATGGAGGTGTGATAAGCGCGACAGGTGCAGCTTGTATGGAGGACCAACTCTGCCATATTTAAAAATAAATACAGAAATAAATAAATGCTTCATAAATAAATAAGCATACGATTAATTGCCCCCCAAAATACAATAAACAAATAAATGTAGGTAGAAATTAAATCATGCAGTGAGACATGAATGTATATATCTCTTTTAATTAGCTTCTTTATTTATTGTCCATTATAATCTTCAGCCTTATTTATGTATTACTTATTTTTTAAAGTTTTTATTTATGTGCATTATATAATATGCTATTTATTTCTTCGTCGTTTTTACATTTCTCTATGCATTTCTGACGCATTATGCAAATGAGGAGAGCAGAGTCTGAAGACGAGTCTGAAGTCAGAGGCCGTTTCTCAATTCACTAGAATTCGAGTACGGACTCGTGTTCTCGCCAAAACGCACTTTTTACTGTACAACAGCAACAGAAAAGAAGACATTTAACTTAATACTCTGAGCTTTGTGAGTTAAGATGATGGGTCCGCCAACCAATGGGCAGAAGTTGACCCTCCAATACACAGCCCTTCCTCATTTACACAATGAGGCAGAAATGCATACAGAAATGTACAATAAAGTGTTGAAGAAATAAATAGGGTAAAAAAAAATACAAAAGATGAATAAACCAGAAAAAAATATTATATCATGCACATAAATTAATACTTATAAAATCATTAATAAATAAAATAAATTGAAGAATATAAGGGAAAATAAATAAATAAATAAGATAATTATTACAAAGGCGAATAAATAAAGAAGCTAATTAAAAGAGATATATACATTTATGTCTGACTGTATAATTTAATTTCTACCTACATTTATTAGTTTATTGTATTTTGGGGGGCAATTAATTGTATGTTTATTTATTTACTGAACATTTATTTATTTCTGTATTTATTTTTAAATATGGCAGAGTTGCTCCTCCATACTTACCTAGCAAAGCCAGCAGTTATTATACTTTGACCTTATTGTGCATAATCTGAAAGCAATGACTGGTAATATTGACTGACTGGTAATAACACTAAAGCTTTATGTCTGTGGCTATATATATATGAATTTAATCAATTAAAATTACATAGTTATTTCAAATGTCAAGCACTTATTGAAATAAATATAATTAAATAACTGACTATAAAAACTACTCAGTAATACCCAAATTGATTTAATTTAAAAATAAGAAACAATGATAAGAGAAGGTAATTAATTTTCACATTTGCTTTGCTTTTTTTTTTTAAGTGTCGTTTTATTGTTGTTATTAAACCTTAACAGAGGGGGCAGCAGAGAGCCATATATAGAACTTCTGTTTGAGGAAGGAGAAGAAATAATGAGTAGAAGAGAGGAAATATGGATAAACAGGTTAAGGATTGGGCATACTAGTTTAAATGCAGGTCTAAAAATAATAGGGAAACATCCAACGGGTAATTGTTGTTATTGTGGAGAAATCGAAGGAGTAGAACATGTGTTGATCTATTGTAGCAAATATACAAAAGAGAGGAAAGAACTGGAAAGGGTAATGGGGAGTTCAGTAAAGATGGCAGATTTATTAGGGAAGCATCAATCAGATAAGATAATTAAAGCACTTATTAAATATTTAAAAGATACAGAATTAGCTGGGAGAATTTAGTGTGTGTATGTGCGTGTGTGTAAGTATAGATAGAATTTAGTTTCATGAAGATATAAAGATATACAGACATTATATTTCTGAATTACATCTCCGTCCAGTTGATGGCGGTAATGCACACAGGATGCAAACTGCCAGAAAACTCAATAGAAGAAGAAGAAGAAGAGGAAGGAGAAGAAGACAACCATTGAAGAAGATGTAAAGCTAACGTTACGATAGCCTGCTAGATGAACAAGAAAAGCTTTTAAATTAATGTTTCACCTACTGATAAAGCATAATTTTTTGTTCTGGTTACTCCAATGAGAAAGGCAGACTCTAACATTCGTATTTTAATTTTTGACATCTAAAGCAAGTCTTTGTTAGATAAACAACCACTGGAGGTTGCTGAGCGACAACAAAAGCCAAACACTGCTGGCAGTGTAGCTGAGCCTTTATCCATTTACGAAAACTAGTCGGACAAATCTATTCCAGACATGACGGGGGTGGCCTCTCCGGAGAAGGCAGCAAACTCCAAGAAGAAAAATGAGAGGAAGTGTGCTTCTAAAGAGGAGTACAAGCAGTTGTCCAGCATCATGGCAGGCATGAACACTCTGAGAAAACAGGTGCAGATCGTATTTTAAAGTGTAGCATGAAAGCAATGTGTTTTTTTTTATGCTTGTCAGTTTTCAAACCTAATAACACGATCGTTAATGTTTATATCTAGGGTACACTCTGTGATGTCACCCTGGTAGTTCAGGGGAAACACTTTCCTGCCCACAGAGTGGTCCTCGCTGCTGCTAGCCACTTCTTCAGCCTCATGTTTACCAGTAAACATCACACACAAACAAAATACTCATGTTGTGTTAGATTGATCTATCTATCTATCTATCTATCTATCTATCTATCTATCTATCTATCTATCTATCTATCTATCTTTAGATGTGGGCATCCACCTATAGATCAAAATTTCTTTTTCGACTTTTATATTTTTTGTTGGATTATTTTGTTGTACTTCACTATTTAATTGCTATACTTTTAGAGTTAGCCTCCATCTCCACTGTGATTTCATTTTATTAAGGTACTTGTGTATCTGTATTATTTTTTATTTTTTTGTCTTGCTTCAGCAATAATACTGGTGTTTTTTTATAACCAGTTATTGCACTATAAGTTTACATCACTGCTAACTGATTAGCTTGAATCCTGTTGCTTTCGGATGTCACGTTGCTGGTGAAGTTTCTCCATCATCCAGGTCATAGTTATTCTAAAAAAGTAAAAAAAAAAAAACAAAAAAAAAAACAGCAAATCACTGGACTTTGTTTCCAAGTTTGAAGACGTTTCACTTCCCATCCAGGAAGCTTTTTCATTTCAAAATATCAGAATTAGTGTTTAGTTTGAGGCTTTATAGAATGGACCAAAAACAAAGCCTACGCTTGGCTTAGAAAACCAAAAGAACGGGTCCGCCTCTTAGGAATGAGGAGTCGTTTGGGTTCTTTGTTAGCCTGTAATACCCAATACTGGTGTATGCCTATGAAAGGGGTGGGCGTTAGCAGGAATTGGTGGCCTGGCTGTACCGGCAAGATGTTTTGGTCCCTTGAGTGGGGTTGCGATGATGAGGACCAGAATGTTCACATTTTGGACAATAAAGACAGGTGCTTGAAGGGTGTGTGAAAGAAGCCATTTATGTTAAGAAAGAAAAAAAAAACCTTAAACAGAGGTGGTGGACTCAGGTTAAAGCTTTCAAAAACCTACAATGCAGCGAGAAAGCTGATTCCTTCCTGCTAAAAAAATTACATACAAAAATTTGATTTTATGTTAAGTTGAAGTTAAAGCCAAAGTAATTTTCTTCTGTGTTGTTTTTGGTCAACTTTGATTTTCCTTTAAATCATTTAATGATTGATTTCCTCATGTCCAGCCCGAATGATGGAATCGATGTCTCATGAGGTGGAGCTGAGGTCTGCGGAGCCTGAGATTATTGAGCTGTTGATTGAATTCATTTACACAGCACGGTAAGGTTCTTCTATAAAATGTCTGCTATGCTTTCTCATAGATATAAAGTTTGTCATTTTATTAATGAGATTTCAGATTTTTCCAAGAGTTATTTTCTGTAATATTTCTGTGTCTTTGTTGCCAGAAAAGATGTGCATTTTGTCTTTGTGTGTCAGAATCTCTGTGAACAGCGGAAACGTTCAGTCGTTGCTGGATGCTGCTAACCAGTACCAGATAGAGCCAGTGAAGAAGATGTGCGTGGAGTTCCTTAAAGGGCAGATTGACCCCACAAACTGCCTGGGTACCTGCTTTAAATGCAACTTTAGTTTCAGCAAAATTACTTTAATAACTTGAGTTTATTTAACTGTTTTGTCTTTACTTTCCTCTAAAGGTATCTCAGCCTTAGCAGACTGCATGGACTGTCCTGAGCTGAAGGCCGCAGCTGAAGATTTTTTCCAGCTCCATTTTACAGAAGTTTACAAACTGGATGAGTTCTTGCACCTGGATGTTAAACAGCTTACATATTTGCTGCACCAGGACAAACTCACTGTTCGTGCTGAGGCTCAGGTACACAATACATTAATTAATCCTGGACTCATTCATCAATACTTTGGATATACTCTGACATATTTTGACCGTAGGTTGAAAAATCAAAGGTACAACAAAAAAAAATATCCATGGGTATATATATTATTAAACCAATTATATATTGATACAAAAGAATCAACCTTGTAACATTTTTTTTTCTGTGCCTTGTTGGTGTGTTTGTGTTTAGATTTATGATGCTGCAGTGCGTTGGCTGAAATACGACGTTTGCAACAGAAAGCAGTATATGGTGGAGGTGCTGGGGTGTGTTCGCTTCCCTCTGGTCTCCAAAACCTTTTTATCAAAGACTGTTCAGGCAGAGCCGCTCATCCAGGACAACCCACAGTGCCTCAAGATGGTCATTAGTAAGTAGCCAGAGAGAGAATTTCACTCATCAATATATAGCTTAACATTTTAGTCATTTGGGGAAATTGAATCATTTAATATGTCTTTTTTTATTTTTTTTTTCCAGAGTTGATCATTTAGGGTGGAAATAATCTAAACCACCCATGTTTAAATTATACATACAGGGTCAAATGTTAACACAACGTACCTACTACAACCCAGTCACATGCTTACCATTATGCATCATTGTGGCAAAATTATTTACCACCCGCATTAGTACTCCTTTAAATTCTTACTTTCTTGCTATATAACAGGATTTTAAGCTCAGTACAAATAAAGGTTTAAGCACTTACATTATGATGTATGCTTAAAGTTGGGCTTGTGGGATTTATTCTCT